ACGCTGCCGTTGAAAGCTATGCATGGACGCCTTCAAACACGGCCCAGAGCTCACTTCTCCACGCGCTTTCGCATGTCGCATCCACTCCGTATGTTTCTTGCAATGTACCTTGCAAACGGGTCGCCATGGCGATCTCCGGCAGGTTTTGTCTTTTTCAACGGGAAGAAGATCCGCTTTTGGAAAGCAACGTACAGTGTGAGCGCGACTGTGAGCTTTGGCGTCCGCACAGTGCCACAGGGATCAGAGCCGAATCGTATGCCTCTGGTAGTAACGAAGGTCAGCTGATCTAACTTGACTTCTGCGAGATAAGGCGAGATTTTTACTGCGACGACTTGCTGGCTGGAGACCGAGCGGCCGATCTGTTCATCGCCGGCGGTCATTGTGGCCCATCAGAGTCGCGGGTATGTTCTGCTTCTGATCCGACAGAAAGAGCCTAATAACTCTCCATATCGTGGCGTCAACCGGGCAGCCACTTTTCCTACAGCAGGAATCTGCACCAAAAGTCACAAAGAGGCGTTTGAAGCAGTGAATAAATCGGTCATTGTAGTTTTGACTGGGTTGCGGAAAGCAAATTGTGGATGCTTGGCGTCCTCAGCTGCTGACGTGTGAGGAAGGGTCGTTCCGAACTTGGCCAGAGGCGGGTCCTGCACGACGTTCGGGTATTTGCGCCGTCATAACACATGCAGCCGCCGTCCTCGGAGCAGTCCTCGGAGCAAAATGCGTGCTCCTTATACGATTCTTTTCACTGGGGAGACAAAATCTTTCACTATTGACAAATGCAAGGTTCCCCGCCTTTTCACAGAAGAACAGATTCAAAGTGTCGAAGTAGACTAACATGCTGCAGCCACCACAATCATGCGACGACTGCAGGGCGTGTACTTCCCAATCCTACTCGCATGCGTTACTCTCAGCATGACCGCCATGACCGTGCTATCAAAAGCCCCTCCGACGAACACGTCAATGACGGCTGCATTTGCAGGCTTCTTTCTCTCTGCATCTGCGATCACAACACCCTTCATCGCAATCATCACAGTCATGCTCTCGTTCGCATCTGGTGGCACTGGCGATTCCCCTAGCTCTGGTCGAGTCA